GAACACCTATTTCCCCCCCCCCCCCCCCACCTCAAGCTTGTAGGATCACTTTTCCAACCACAGTGCTATAATCCAAAATGTATCTATATTTGTTCTTAAAAGCCGTTGCTTACTTAGATAAGTTGTGCTCTGAAATGAGCATGGGACACAGCTTTGGTTGGGTCAGTGCTCCTGCTGCTTCACTCCCTTCTGGACTTACCACTCACAGCCACATTGCCCTTTCCTAGGGTTCAGAAGTCACTGACTCAGTCATGGCAGTTTTCCCCCCCCACCCCCTTAAATCTCAGTATTTGTTATTAATATCACAAGATTTAAAAATAAATACAGCGATATTTTGGGGCCTGTCTAGGGATTGTTTATCAGCCTTATGAAAGCTGCATACTCTGAGTTGCATTATTGAGTCAGGTGAAAAAAAAATAAAATAATGCAATCTTCAAGGATCATTATAAAGTGGAGATTCCTGGTGGGTGGTTTGGGGATAGTGTCCCTGACACATCTCTTAGCTTGTGGAGGGTAAGCTTTTCCTGCTTTTCCATCCATTTTATTTCCTTCTATGTTGCTATTCTGCTTTTCTCTCCTCACTTCTGATTTTCTTGCCCATTATTTTCTCTGAAAAAGAGTAATGCAGTAAGTGGGCTTAGTACATCTCAGAACTTAGGGCTGCCTTTTGCCCATGCTTTGGAATAACAACTTCTTGGACCTGGTTTGTTTTGCGTTCAGAGTTGTACTCTTTCTGACCTTTCACAATTTGTCTTTCAAAGTCATGCTGTGAACTATGAAAAAAAAAATAAAACTGAGAGCATATGGAAAAGTTTGTATCAATTTATACTAAATAGACCATATAGGCATTTTAGATTTTCATATTCATTTAGAAATATGATCCTACTTGAGAAGGATCAGCAAATAAGTTGAGTATTTGGACAGTTATTCCATTTTTAGAACGTCAAGTGGCAATGGCAGGTTGAACGTTGCAATACTTCAATGTTTTTGGTACCTTTTTTTTATAGAACACCTGGTATCTTTATTCCTAGAGAGCAGTTTTCCTAGATTTCATTTCATTTCACTGTCACTGATCTGAAAAATGCCCATTTCTACCTCTCCTTAAAATGCAGAAAATTAATCTCTCAGGTGTATGGGTCTTTGCAAGGTTAATAGAGATCAGCTAGTGACATAATTTCAAGAAGGCAGTGATGCATCTTCACAGTTGTCCTTCTGTGTATCATACAAATAATTCCTCTCTGACCCTAAGGCAAATTACTAATAGGTCGTGTTTTTCACTTACCAGATTTTTAGCTAAATTAAACATTCAGCCTTTTGTTATCTGAGTTTACCTTTAACTCCGTAGAATTTTGGATTCTTTGAACAGGAATCCCACAAACTTTGATACAACCTGTTACAGGCAAATTTTCCATGCTACACAACCTATAGTGCTTCTGTGTTCTTCATGCCCTTTACAACCGCCCAAGGTAGATGGGGAAATATGTTAGTGGTTAATGAAGTTAGTGAAGAGAACAAAGCTGTATTCCTCCAGTTAACACTTACTTGGTCAGTATGTGCTCCTCAGAGATGATGTGATTGCTGCTGAACAGCTGCCGCAGATGGGCTGGTAAGGGGACTGACCTTGCTGGTGTTTATCTTGTCACAATGTGTATTTCATTACAGATAATGTGCTATCTTCTCCTACTCCTGAAAGACTGATTTATTATAGACAGATCTTTCTGTTTTTGAGGAGTGGATGACTTCTTAAGATAGATGCTTCAACTTCTGTTCACAAGAGAGAAATTACTCAGAAGAGTTGTCTTGCTGGTCCCAGTTTGGTATCTCACATAGCAGAGGGAAATGTTTGCGTGCAACAGAGCCTTAATTTGAGCACAGAGTGTGTGTGTGGGGACTTGCTTCTTCTATTTTTGCTCAGCAAATGGGTTCATGTCACCTTTGCAGTCATTACATAGAATCATAGAATCATACAATCATATGGGGTTGGAAGGGAGCTCTGGAGATCATCTAGTCCAACCCCCCCTGCTGGAGTGGGTCTACACAGCACATACCACAGGAACTTGTCCAGGCAGGTTTTGAATGTCTCCAAGGAAGGAGACTCCACCACCTCTCTGGGCAGCCTGTTCCAGTGCTCCACCACTCTCACAGTAAAGAAGTTCCTCCTCATGTTTAGGTGGAACTTCTTATACTCAAGTTTGTGCCTGTTTCCTCTTGTCCTGTCACTGGGCACCATTGAGAAAAGACCAGCCCCGTCCTCCTGACACCCTCTCTTTAAGTATTTGTACGCGTAATTAGATCTCCCCTCAGCCTTCTCTTCTCAAGACTGAAAAGACCCAAGTCCCTCAGCCTCTCCTCGTAGGAGAGATGCTCCAGGCCCTTAATCATCCTTGTGGCCCTTTGTTGTACCCTCTCCAGCAGTTCCCTCTCCTTCTTGAACTGGGGAGCCCAGAACTGGACACAGTACTCCAGATGGGGCCTCACCAGGGCAGAGTAGAGGGGCAGGATGACTTCCCTTGACCTGCTGGCCATGCTTTAACAGTCCTACTACAATTCCTTTTTACTAGTTTTGCATAGTGATGCTGTAGGGTTTGTGTTTGTATGTTGCTTTGAAATTTAACACTGCAAGGTCAGCAAAGGAGTCCAGGAAGGCTGGACATTGTTCAAGAAGGAAAGCTGAAAGACGTTGGACCAGGGTGTCCCCATGTGCCACCAGAAGAACTGGCAGGGAAGAAGACTGGCCTGGCTGAACAGAGAGCTTTGGCTGGAACTCAGGAAAAAAAAAGGGAGTTTATGACCTTTGGAAGAAGGGGAAGAAAACTCAGAAGAACTACAAGGACATCGTGAGGTTTTGCAGGGAGAAAATTAGAAGGGCCAAAGATTGGGTAGAACTTAATCTGGCTACTGCAATAAAAGAAAATAAAAAATGTTTCTATAAATACATTAACAGCAAAAGGAGGACTAAGGAGAATCTCCGTCCTTTATTGGGGCTTTGTGTGTGTGTGCTGGTTTTGGCTGGGGTAGGGTTAATTTTCTTCACAGGATCTAGTATGGGGCTATGCTGACAACACAGGGATGTTTTAGTTATTGCTGAGTGGTGCTTGCAGAGAGTCATGGCCTTTTCTGCTCCTCACACCATCCTGAAGTGAGCAGGCTGGGGGTGCACAAGAAGTTGGGAGGTCACACCGCCAGAACAGCTGATCCCAACTGACCAAAGGGATATTCTATACCATGTCACATCATACTCAGCATATAAAACTGCAGAAGAAGAAGGAAGGGGAAGACGTTTGGAGTTAGGGCGCTCTTAAAAGCCGTTGCTTACTTAGATAAGTTGTGCTCTGAAATGAGCATGGGACACAGCTTTGGTTGGGTCAGTGCTCCTGCTGCTTCACTCCCTTCTGGACTTACCACTCACAGCCACATTGCCCTTTCCTAGGGTTCAGAAGTCACTGACTCAGTCATGGCAGTTTTCCCCCCCCACCCCCTTAAATCTCAGTATTTGTTATTAATATCACAAGATTTAAAAATAAATACAGCGATATTTTGGGGCCTGTCTAGGGATTGTTTATCAGCCTTATGAAAGCTGCATACTCTGAGTTGCATTATTGAGTCAGGTGAAAAAAAAATAAAATAATGCAATCTTCAAGGATCATTATAAAGTGGAGATTCCTGGTGGGTGGTTTGGGGATAGTGTCCCTGACACATCTCTTAGCTTGTGGAGGGTAAGCTTTTCCTGCTTTTCCATCCATTTTATTTCCTTCTATGTTGCTATTCTGCTTTTCTCTCCTCACTTCTGATTTTCTTGCCCATTATTTTCTCTGAAAAAGAGTAATGCAGTAAGTGGGCTTAGTACATCTCAGAACTTAGGGCTGCCTTTTGCCCATGCTTTGGAATACCAACTTCTTGGACCTGGTTTGTTTTGCGTTCAGAGTTGTACTCTTTCTGACCTTTCACAATTTGTCTTTCAAAGTCATGCTGTGAACTATGAAAAAAAAAATAAAACTGAGAGCATATGGAAAAGTTTGTATCAATTTATACTAAATAGACCATATAGGCATTTTAGATTTTCATATTCATTTAGAAATATGATCCTACTTGAGAAGGATCAGCAAATAAGTTGAGTATTTGGACAGTTATTCCATTTTTAGAACGTCAAGTGGCAATGGCAGGTTGAACGTTGCAATACTTCAATGTTTTTGGTACCTTTTTTTTATAGAACACCTGGTATCTTTATTCCTAGAGAGCAGTTTTCCTAGATTTCATTTCATTTCACTGTCACTGATCTGAAAAATGCCCATTTCTACCTCTCCTTAAAATGCAGAAAATTAATCTCTCAGGTGTATGGGTCTTTGCAAGGTTAATAGAGATCAGCTAGTGACATAATTTCAAGAAGGCAGTGATGCATCTTCACAGTTGTCCTTCTGTGTATCATACAAATAATTCCTCTCTGACCCTAAGGCAAATTACTAATAGGTCGTGTTTTTCACTTACCAGATTTTTAGCTAAATTAAACATTCAGCCTTTTGTTATCTGAGTTTACCTTTAACTCCGTAGAATTTTGAATTCTTTGAACAGGAATCCCACAAACTTTGATACAACCTGTTACAGGCAAATTTTCCATGCTACACAACCTATAGTGCTTCTGTGTTCTTCATGCCCTTTACAACCGCCCAAGGTAGATGGGGAAATATGTTAGTGGTTAATGAAGTTAGTGAAGAGAACAAAGCTGTATTCCTCCAGTTAACACTTACTTGGTCAGTATGT